AGAGAGAGAGAGAGAGAGAGAGAGAGAGAGAGAGAGAGAAAATTATACTTTCATGTATGAAGGTATAAACATGTAGTGCAAAAATCCATGCTTTAGGCAACTTGGTAAATTTGTATCTCTGGAACCATTTCAAGTTAGCATTGCTTTCTTCAAGGTCTCTATTATGATGATGAAGAAAAGTTCGTTCTCTTTTAATCTTCCTTTGTTCTCTTTGAAAGTCGATTCTCTCGGCTGCTCTTACATCATGAAAAAGAATAGGATCATGTGTCCCTTTATCATAATCATGAAGATATGGCATGTCATTGTTCCTTGTTTGAATAATTTGCTCACATATGATGTATGCTAATGGAGGGTGAAGGAATAAAACCAATGCCAGTGCTTGAACCAAAACCTTTAACCTACCAAGGTCTCCAAACTCAAGTTACCCTCTGTATTAGCTTAGCTTGCCTAGACATTTAGACATAATTCACAGTAAAGAGCATGAATTAACAAATGAATTAAGTGAAAGAAAAACTGTTACATTGTAAGACTGTGAAGCTGAGAGAGATAGGAGGAGGATGTAACAAATTGCTATGGAGTAATGGAAATAAAAGAGTAGATTGGAAATAAATGAATGCAAATAAAAAATAGATTTATTTTACTTTTTAGCCCTTGGTTATGAATGAATGGGCTAAAATATGCATCAGAAAGTTTCATTTAGTGCTATAGGATGTTGTGGGTAGCAGCTTCTGCAGGATAGAAAAGGGACAGAGTGATACAAATGGTATTGCGGTAAAAACCCTGCTCCTTTGCAGGGGCATCAAAAGAGAAATGCTCATGGTGTACCACTGCAATACAGTGTTTATTGTTCTGACAAAATATAGGATTTCGTATGTTACTATTAGTTGCATTCTATGCATCATTGAATTGTAATAATGGAAGAACCAGAAGTAATTGGGTGGGGGGGAGATAATGCAACATTCTGAAATAATATGATCCAGAGGGAAAGAGATGTTTTAGATGACATGATTGAGTGGGAGGGCACAAGACAAGATAGCAGAGGAAGTGACTGATTCTAAAGATCTCAAAATGAATTTAAAAAGGTGATTGGTGAGCATCTGGTTAGATAATGATGTAGAAGGAGCTCACATTAGGAGAGATTTTCCTTTTTACTCCAAAAACTAGAAAGTAAAAAATGAATCAAAAGTGATGTAAAATTACCCTGTATTCCTTTTTTTAAAAAAAGCTGTTTTATAAGTTTTTGATCGCACAAAAATAGCTAGAAGCGTACCCAGAAGACATATAAATGGTAGTAGATCAAAGTAGCAAATGGATACAAGCTTCTTTTTTCATTTGTTCTTTTAAGCTGTTCTGATTTCCCAACTAAAAGACTGTCTAGTCACATTTCAGCCTTCCAGTACTGGCCATAAATATAGATGTGGCTTGTATGAACTGACACCTAATTATTATGCCAACATCCATGCTATTCCTTGTCCATCTTTTTAGAAGAACCAGCTCAGCCCAAGATGCTGTGGAATCTTGAAAAGAACATTAAAGTAACCTTATTCTCTTAATAATGAAATGGTTGAGTGCTCTCACCCTAAGACTTCCCCCTTAAAAGCTCTACCAGCTAAACAGTAAAACAGGCCCTGTAGTGATAACTCCAGGCTTTTTCTAAAATCACAGTGTGTTGAATGCAAGTTCTCATTTTAGCTCTCTCTTTGCTTAATGCAGGTACATTCAAGGGGCCTCATCTCCAAAAGACATGGTGATCATTGTGGATGTGTGAGTATTTTTTCCCTACAATTTTCTACATGTCATGTTTCCAGACTATATCTTATTGTTTGTATAATGCTAAAAGGGACACGGTGGCTCAGTGGCTAAGACGCTGAGCTTGTCAATCAGAAAGGTTTGAATCCCTAGCACTGTGTAACGGAGTGAGCTCCCGTTACTTGTCCCGGCTTCTGCCAACCTAGCAGTTCGAAGGCATGTAAAAATGCAAGTAGAAAAAATAGGAAACACCTTTGGTGGGAAGGTAAAAGTGTTCCATGTACCTTCGCCGTTTAGTCATGCCGGCCACATGACCACAGAGATGTCTTTGGACAGTGCTGGCTCTTTAGCTTTGAAATGGAGATGAGCACCACCCCCTAGAGTCAGGAATGACTAGCACATGTGCGAGCGGAACCTTTACCTTTACCTTTTTATAATGCTAAAATTCTTGAAATGAGTTTGGAGGCCCAGTGGGCAGGAGGAACTGTCTCCACAGCATAAGATCATCATGGAAAGGAATTGCAACATATACCTGGTGCTTCAGATATGAGGGCAATGTGACTGTAGCAGCTGTCCTCACATTAGTTACTCGCTGGATTTGGCTGATCCAGCTGACCAAGAGGGTGACTCTTTCCTCCCTCACAGCCAATATATACCTCTCCCAAAGCTCTACACAGATAGCAGTGAGCAGGCAGGAGTGGGCCATTCTTTCATCAAGGCTGGAACAGCCTAAAATTTGCTATTTCCCTTACCAATCTGCACCTTATTTGTAGTGCCCTGGTGTGTTCAAAGAGCATTGCGGGAGTGGGGGGAAGAATCTGGGCCTGACCAAGTTTTTGTCTCTCCCATCTTATACTAAAAAAAAAAAAACAAGGGTTACTTTAAATTTCTCCTTTGTTCTTGCTTCAGTCTTTGGACTGCATAATCCCTTGTCTAAGTCCCTCCTTAATGGCTCTTTCAAGGTCAGCTCTAAATTCCTTTTGGGAATTTAGTGAGCAGTGGTCTGCAGTCTTTTGCAGCCGAGCTGGGATATATTGCTTCAACATTTTGAAGGCACAGATATATATGAGTGGAAGGTTAGATGCAATCAGCACATATGCTAAAAACCATTTTACTGGAAAATCAATTCTATTTAATTTGGCATAACTTATTCCTAAATAAACAGCAATAAGGCTGGAAAACTGAAAGCTGCAAGTCTATCCATATTGATTTGCTGATCCCAGGGATCTCCCCTTTTACCTTCCACCTCTTCCAACAAAGGATTAATTCTCACAGCTATGACAGAAGTGCCTAGGACAAAGATGGAAGAATCTTAACATTTGATCCTACACTTATTTACTCAGGTCCCAAGTACATTTAGTGGCATGTGCTGACTAATCAACTAGGTTTTTTTATTTTTTATAAAGATTTTATTTTATTTTTGAATAAACCCACAAAACCATCTTCCATTACAAATTATATAAAGTGTATCGATTGCTTACAAAAACTTCCATGCATCCCTTCCACAGTCATCACCTACAATTCATCTCAAATCATACATTTTAAATCAAATATATTTATATATATATTAGTGTCATCATACCTCAACCTTCATTTGACTATAATTGTTTTTACGACCATTTATATAAAATATTCCAGATTAAAAGCAAACCCACATAATGGCATTACATTAGCTCTT